TAAAGTCCACCCACTCAAGAGTAGTCAATTTGCTAGGATGTACACACAAGGCAGGAATCTTGGGAGCCATCTTAGAATTCTTCTTATCACCTATAATCAAAGCAAAGGGCTTCCTAGTGATAAAGTTCTATCAAAAGACAATATAAAACCTTGCATACAGAAGAATGAATAAACTACATAATCTTCAGATCATCCTTAAGTAGTACTTTTTGCATTTTATCTATTGATAAAATTAGTTTGAGATTATAATATCCAAAAAATGATTAAAGCTTAATTTGCTCACTACATCTTAAATAGGGTAGGACGACCCTTCTAGTGATTTGTTTTATCTGTTATTTACCAAAAACCAATCTACTAAACTGGCTCAACTATATCAAGGACAAAGTCTACCCATTGATCACCACAGCATCAGAGAGTAGAAAAATGAAAAGAGGGATGTTCAGCAAAGAATATACAGCCACCTGCATGATTTCTAGATGAGCCCAAACCAATTATCAATTCTTTTTTTTTTTTTTTTTTTGAGTCAGGGTTTTATTCTGCCACCTAAGTTGGAGTACACTAGCATGATCACAGCTCACCACAGCCTGGACCTCCAGGGTTCAAATGATCCTTCCACCTAAGCCTCTGAGTAGGTGGCACTCAGGTACACTACCATGCCCACCTAATTCTTTTTTTTTTTTTTGGTAGAGATGAGGTCTCACTATGTTGCCCCAAGTTGGTCTCAAATCCTGGGTTCAAGCAATTCTCTTGCCTCAGTATCCCAAAGTGCTGGGATTACAGGCAAAAGCCACCATAGACAGTCCAATTATCTAATATTAAGTAAAACTCTCAAATCTCTTTTCTCAGTATGATTCTAAAGAAGTCTATTTAGAAGTGTTGTTTAAAAAGAAGTTACTATAATACAAGATCAATACAAGAACAAGAACCAATTCTTTAACATCAAAGCCATTGATTGTTGAACTCAAAATAATAATAATGAAGTTCTAAATAGCAGCACTGACAATACTAAACACTGATTTAGTAAATTAGAAAGCAAATACATGGGGGTAAAATGACAAAAGGATGAAAATTGTGAAGGAAAAAGCAAAAGATATGGAAGATGTTTACCTTTCTAGGCTACATAATAGAAGGTTATGACAGATTAGCTAGCTGTTCACCAAACCTCTTTCCTCTTCTTCCTGATCACACAGCCAGAGTATACTTCCAAGACTCTTTTGCAGTGTTTGAGCTCTGGCCAATGTACAGAAGTGATACGTGTAATCTGTAAATTTGGCCCATAAGAAACCTCCAAGCATTACTTACTGTCTTTTCCCTTTTGCTGTAACCCTGGAAGCTACATGTTGGAAAAGTCCTAGATTCCTTGATGATCACTTGGAAAACAGTCACCCCAACAGGAACATCTATTTTGGTCTTTACATAAGCAAAAAATAAAATTTATATTATGAGATTCTGGAGTTTAGCTACTGCAGCAGGGATAATTATTTAATGAATACAAAAACTGGTGTTGGAAGTATGGTGTTGTCATAACAAAAAAATCTAAAATAAATGGGACTGGTTTAGTGGTAAGGTAGTAGACAGCAAGAACACACATTTAGCAAGCTGAAAGGCTGGAAAGTCCTAAAATACTGTGGTAAAACTGGAACTTGTTACAAGTTTAAAAGGTATACCACATGGCTACCAGGTCTATAGCACTAAAAGTGAATGGAGAGTAAGAGTTATAATGAACACTGGAGTTTACATTCTACTTTTGGCAAGGTATTTCATTTTAAAAGTTAAGCTCAAAAAAGAATTGGCTGATTTGCAGGCTGAAATTACAGGGAATAGAAAGTAGTCCAAGCTGGGCTCGGTGGCTCAGCCTGTAATCCTACATCTTAGGAGACTGAGGTGAGTGGACTGCCTGAGCCTGCGGGTACGAGAACCCCTGGGCAACTTGGTTAGACCTCATCTCTACAATAAATCAAAAAATGAGCTGGGCGTGGTAGCGCATGCCTGTAATTCCAGCTACTTGGAAGGCTGAGGCGGAAGGATCGCCAGAGCCCCAGCAGGTCAAGGCTGCAATGGCCGGAAGCGGTCACTGCACTCCAGTCTGGGTGACAGAGTGAGACTCCAACACACACACACAAAAAAAGAAAGTAGTTCAGAAACTTAGGCGTCATAAGGTTAGAAAACTGAACACACACAGATCTGAAACAGCAAAAGAATAGTAAAGGCTTAATCAATAAAGTCCCAGGAAGACTTTTAGTTGAAAAAAGTGACCCAATTCTAAGGCAGAGATCAAATTCAAGTACAATCTTTCCATCTATGGTTTTATACAGCCTTATAAGACCATTAAACTGAGAAAGAAGTATAAGGCAAGGGTTATACTCCCTCATCTCCACTACTTCCCCAAAAAGGGCCAACAAAAAACAAAATCATTCTTAAAAATTATACTGAGGAAAGAACAGCGGGTATGGTGTCCACACAGAACCTACTGGAAAGAAAAGCCTACTAAGTTTGAAGAGAACTAGAATGCCAAAAAACCACAAATTTGAACTAAATAAACCTTTGACTAATATTTAGAGCCTTAAAACAACCCTTAGGCCCCTAAACTTGTAGGAACAGAAAGCAGGCAGTAAAAGATACATATAGATATGGATGTAGAGCCCAGCAGGCGAGGCTGCGGTGGCCAGGAGCGGCCAATGAACTCCAGTCTGGGCGAGCGAGTGAGAAACCAACTCAAAAAAAAAAAAAAAGTAGCTAACGCTTACTGAGTGTGTACTATGTGCCAGATATGGATGTAGATGTAGATGTAGACGTAGACATTAAACAGAGAAATAGAAAGGAAAATATGTCTTCTAACTAATGTATATTACCCAGCATCTATTTCAGAAGTGCATATCTTTTTTTAAATAACAAAAAAAAAGCAATGTGTAGATAGGAGCTGAAGAGAACAATGAGCAAAGGAGTTCCTTCAGGGAATCAGGGTTGAAGTAAGGAAATTCCCCTACTACCAGGGCAGAGGGTCTTTGCAATGCCTGCTCAAGTAGATTACACGACTTACGATGAAGCAGGGAATATTATTTGTCTCCCATTCCTCCCTTTTCTAAATGGAAGCTTTTCTTATGGTTATTTTATTCTAGCTTCTTCATTTCATATTGAGGGTAGGAGGAAACACTGGTGCAGATAACTTGTAATTTTAGTTAAGTGGTCACCAGCCCATGAAGAGACACAGTTAAATTGATGGATAGGGCTGAGCATCCCTGGAAGATACCAGACTTTCAGATGGATGTAGTGACTGAATGGGCCACTGGGCCGTCTTCTATAGGGAAGGGTATGTTCTGTGCATGAGAGGAGGCATGAAGAGGTATTTGATGACGAGAGAGTAGACTGTACTAGAAACTTGCTACTTACTATTCACCAAATCTGTGTCTTCCCCCTCTTACAGAATGAGATTACATTTACCAGTCTCCCTTTCAGGTAAGTATGCTATGTAATTAAGTTCTGACCAATGGAATGTGGGTAGAAGTAATACTGTGTAGCATTTATTCCTGGCTTTTAAAAACCCTCCCACATGTTTGGTCCTTCACCTTCTGCAGCAATATTCAAAGCCATATTAAAGATGACAGAGCCACACAATAAAAAGATTTTAAGTTCCAAAATCACCACTGAAAAGAAAACCATCACAAATCAGACACTACTTGGGGCTTGACATAACTATCTGAACTTAAACAAATCACTGCACTCCAGCCTGGGTGACTGAGTGAGACTTCTGACTCAAAAAAATAAAAATAAAAAAAGAGAATAAAATAAAAGGGTTGCTTCCACAGAAGATTTGTACTATATTCTCTATATTTTGAAAGATTAGTAAAAAACTAGTCAACCACAATATCTAAAGACTTATAAGATAACTTCATTCCTATATTTAAAATATATACCCAGCAATGCAAAAGTATATTTTCAATTATTAATTTTGTTTCTTCACCACTATCAAAAAATGACATGATTACTTATATCAGGTTTATAATCAACTAGTTTTAAACTCTGAACTTTGTAAAGTATAACACTGACAAAATTTAAAAGAAGAAAGAGAAGGAAATATCTGCATTCCCTTAGTAGATAGTAATGGGCAAATCTCTTTTGCAGAATCAAATAGGCATCATAGATCATATAGACGTCTGAATAGATTATCTAGGCTAATTGAGATCTAAAATTTGATTCAAAATATAATCTATTTTCACCATTCCTCACAGAATGACAGAAACTACAAATAACCTATTCAACAACACTGTTGTTTAGACAACCAAAAAATATTTTCTATAAACAAGTGAATCTTCTATTTACTACAGTAGGCCACATCACCAGATATACTGAGAAATTTTAACAAGATCAGTGTGACAAATTTCAAAAGTGCAAGTACTTTTGCAAATCATTACTGTTCTTTCATTCATAACGACAAAAGACATTCAGATGTTGCTCATGGCTTTGGTGACTTAGAGATGAAGAGTTTTTTTAATTTAAATATTTCTAATACATTTGTTAATGTATAAACTATAAATAAATTCTTTTCTGCGATAATTCATAGCATTTTCCAATAGGACTTCTTCACTGACACATGTTAATATCAGAAATATTCATATACAACATGACATCTTTCTTGCATAGTGAACAGTCAGTCAAAGGCCCATGCACCACAATTGAGGTCATTAACTAAAAGGAGAACCTCAAAATATCTTGAGTTTTAAATTATATCCAAAGTCAAGGGAACAACAGAAAAATATCTTCAAATCCCCAATATAAATCATCACAATCGATGAGTATTTACTGAACATCCACAGAGCAAAACAATATAATAGTTCATTGCTCCATTTAAAAAAAAAATGTTTTTAAATCTCAAATCATGTGTTTACATCAAGGACTTCCCTTAAATGATAAGAAGTAATTAAGACACTTGACAAAGAGAAACAAATTTAACTTAATACTTGCAAAGTCATTGTCCAACCTATCATAAACCCAAGACCTACTTGCTTCATGGCAGTTTCTCCAATTTTGTCTGAATGTTTGCGGATGCTCTCCAGAAAGTCTTTGAGATCAGACATAGAAACATCCTTTATTTCTTCTCGAAGCTTGGGGATGTTGTCCAGCATCACCTTGCAGAATCGATAGTGGCTTACTTGAGGCAAATAGGTATGCTCTAGATGTTCCAGAGTTTTCAGCGCAGGATAATGCCTATAAAAGGAATTGATCACCTTTAGTTCAACTCAGTCTTTTAAAGTGTCAAAGATATATTCCTCAGGAAAAATGTCTAGTCTGACTTCAGTTTCACTGAACAGTAGGATAAATCCTAATGCCTGGGTGGGAGTGGAGACACAACATCAATAAGGTTACCTGATCTCAAACCAGGCAAAGTGGGGACCAAAGGGAGGCCCAAACTTTACCTGTACGATGTCCACTTGTATCCTAATCCAGAATTGTACCTCACATCTTTAAAATAAAATATAAACAAGTAAATCCAATGTTAAGCATTAATAAAAACATTAAAAAATCAAATTATTAAAAATTAATATATGTTTTCAAAGACTAGGAAATTATAATCAAAAAATATTTTATCCAAAGAATGTATAAAACTCAGAATATCAACCAGTAAATTGATTACATAAAAAATAAAAGGAAGCCAGGCTCGGTGGCTCAGCCTGTAATCCCGCGCCTTTGGGAGGCTGAGGTGAGTGGATTGCCTGAGCCCATGGGTTCGAGACCCGCCTGGGCAACTTGGCGAGACCTCATCTCTACAATAAATCAAAAAATTAGCCAGTCGTGGTAGCGCGCGCCTGTAATTCCAGCTACAAGGAAGGCTGAGGCGGAAGGATCGCCGGAGCCCAGCAGGCGAGGCTGCGGTGGCCGGGAGCGGCCACTGCACTCCAGTCTGGGTGACAGAGTGAGACTCCAACTCAAAAAAATAAAATAAAATAAAATAAAAGGAAATAAAAATAACTATCTGAATGCCTAAAAAATCATCCTATAAAATGAAGTAGCCAATGCTAAACATATCATTCTGGCAAAGGGAAGAGCTTGGCAAACCGTCTACCCAAAAAAACAAATATAAACTAGACAAAATTCCCCAAAGCAACCGTTTCAGGCCTCTGGAAAGTAACCAAAGGAGAACAAATAGGAAGTATTTATTCATGAAAACTACTCAACAATGGGACTCTATAGTATCCTTGCCTGGGACTACTTCTATCACTGTCCCTCCCCTACCAATTCCTCTGCCATTCCCTTGTCATTGGCCATGGCTAGTCAGGAAAACCAGCAGCTTAACTAACATTAGAGGCTGAAATGATTTGGAGTAGAGGATTAAAAAAAAAGAAACTGGTATCAAGTGGTACGGTACTGTTAGGAAAGTAACAAACTCGGCAAAAAAAAAAAGTAAAAAAATATAGGGGCGGGATTGGCAGTTGAGTGAAACTGCCAGGGGAGGGAGGGGCACACCGCATCAACAAGGGTAGTACCTGCATAATGAATATTTGTATACATAACCCTGAATTGAATTGTACCCCACATCTTTAAAATAAAGAAAAAAGGCCGGGCTCGGTGGTTCAGCCTGTAATCCCAACACTTTGGGAGGCCGAGGTGAGTGGATTGCCAGAGCCCGCGGGTTTGAGACCCACCCAGGCAACTTGGCAAGACCTCCTCTCTACAATAAATAAATAAATAAATTAGCCGGGTATGGTAGCACGTGCCTATACTTCCGGCTACTTGGAAGGCTGAAGGAGAAGGATTGCCGGAGGCCAGCAGGTCGAGGCTGCGGTGGCCAGGAGCATGCTATTGCACTCCAGTCTGGGCGACAAGAGTGAGACTCCAGCTCAAAAAAAAAAAAAAAAAATATATATATATATATATATATGTAAATTTTTTTAAATAAAGAAAATAAATTTATATCAGCAGAATAAAACATTAAAAATAAATAAAATAAAAATTAAAAAAATTAAATAGGGAAAGCCTCCAGGTCTACTAGCAGAAAGCTGCAATCTGGGTTAGGGCCAACAATAGACTGAAGCACTAACCAAATAAAGGGCTTGATAAGCTCTCTGCAAGTCCCTGGTTGACAGAGGATGTATACACACACAGGAGAAACCTAAAAGGGTCTAAACACTCCACACATCCCTGGCTGATTAGGAGACTACAGAAAAGCACACAGGAGACTTAAAAAGGCCTGGAAAAAAGTAAATTTCAAGTAGACTTGAAAACTGCCTGAACTTTTAGTACACTTCCTAACCCACATACAAATCCACTGGCAAAGAGTGGAAACTGTATAGGTTCAAATTTGAGTACAACCTCTGACCAATCTATCGCTAGCAGGTAACTATTTTTAAAAGAAAATGAGGTTGGACACAGTGGATCATGCCTACAATCCCAGTGCTCTGAAAGGCCGAGGCAGGAGGATCACTTGAGGCCAGTAGTTCAAGACCAGCATGGGTCGTGAGACTCAGTCACTAAAAAAATTTAAAAAGCAAAAATTAGCCAGGCACCCACAGTCCTAACGACTCCGGAGACTGGGGCTGGAGGATCACTTGAACGCAAGAGTTTGAGGCTACCATAAGTTATGATTACAGCACTGCTCTCCAGCCTGGGCAACTGAGTAAGATACTGCCTCTAAACAAAAGTTAAAATTAAAAAATAAAAGTGAAATACAAAACCTTCCCAGATAAACAAAGACTGAGAGAATTACTTGCTAGCACACCTGCCTTACAATACTAAAGGAAGCCTAAAAGGAAGTGACAGTAGATGGTAACTTGAATTCACAGAAAGAAATGAAGACCATGGGAAATAGTAAATATATGCATGCTAAAGATAAAAGACTGAATAAACATATTTTTCTCTTTTCTTAACTTCTTTAAAAGATGATTTTTTTTTAAGTAATGATCATGATACTGTATTGTTGGGTTTATAAGATGGATATGTAGTTTGACAACACAACACAAAAGAGAAGGAAATAATATGTTACACTAAGTTTGTGTGAGCAATAACCTAAGATGGACTACAATAAGATAAGATGCACATTATAATACACAGAGCAACCTCTAAAAAAAGATCAAAAATATATACTATTTAAAAATCAACAATAAATAAAAATCAACAAAATAATTAAAATAGTAAACTACAAAATATTTAACACAAAAGGCAGTAAAGGAGAAACAAAAACACATGAAAAATATAGAAAACGAAGAGTAAAATCCAACCATGGCAATAATTACATTAAATGTGAATATTCTAAACACTCAAATTGGAAGACACATAGTCAAAAAGGACTTTAAAAGCATAATCCAACCACATGCTATCTGTAAGAAACACATTTTAGACTGAAAGATACAAATATGCTGAAAGTAAAAGATGGAAGAAGATATACCACATAAAAATTAACCATAAAAGGGCTGGAATCGTTATATTAATATAAGATACAAAAGACTTTAAGACAACAAATATTGTTTGTTACACAGAAGGACATTTCATCATAATAAAAGGGATGATATTTATCTGATAAGGAAGTTTTTATAAGCATAAGAGGACAAATAAAAACTAAGAATGAAAAAACTGACTAGGTAAAAACAAAATAAGTTGTAAATAAAAAGAACAAAACAAGAATAAACAGAAAATAACAAACTAGAAAGATAATTTGTAATGTATGAATAAAATATTAATAAACGAGTTCTTTTTTAAAGAAGCATTGAACAAAGGAAAATTCACAAAAGAACAAAAAAGGGTCAACATATGAAAAAAAAGTTGAACTGAGATGTGATGAAATGCAAATCAATAAATGGTTTCAATAAATGGGAATTCACAGGCTGCTGGTAAAAATTTTTTTTTTTTTTTTTTTTTTAGAAAGCAGGATTTATTAAGAGGACCAAAAAGTTCCCGCAGTGGGAGGGGACCTGAAGCGGTTGCCCAACAAATTTTTATCAATGATGAAAGTCTTCCATGAAGAATTTTAGCAAAACAACTATTTTAAACAATTGCATTTCCAAAAATAAAGATGTACAAAACTATATATGAGCCTCTTGAATTGTAGTTATTTATATTATCAAATAAAGAAACTAATCTAGATATCTAATAACAAGGAATTGATTAAACACATTAATATGTATTCATGTAGTAAAAAGTTAATGAAATAGCAAAATATTTACAATATTATTGAAAGAAGATCATCTTAAAAACCAGATCTTGGGTCAGGCTCGGTGGCTCAGCCTGTAATTCCAGCTCTTTGGGAGGCCAAGACAAGTGGATTGCCTAAGCCTGCAGTTTCAAGACCAGCCCGGGCAATTTGGCAAGACCTCATCTATACAATAAAATTTTTTTCTAAATTAGCCAGGCGTGGTAGCGCATGCCTGTAGTTCCAGTTACTTGGAAGGCTGAGGCAGAAGGATCACTGGAGCCCAGCTGGTCAACGTTGGGGTGGCCATGAGTGTGCCACTGCACTCCAGTCTGGGTTACAGAGTAAGACTCCAACTTGGGGTTGGGGGGAAACAAATAACTAGATCTTATCGCTTCTTGACATTTTGGCTAGGATCAAGTATAGTATCTGTTCGTATCGATTTAACATCTGATATGCCCACTATCTATATATTAAACATTTTTTTAGCAGGAAGCTAATGGGAGCTTGCTTTGTCAACTCCATGCATTGACCTGGCATTGCAGTACCTCCAGGAACGGTGAACCAATTGAAAAACAAACAAGCCGGGCTCGGTGGCTCAGCCTGTAATCCCGCGCCTTTGGGAGGCTGAGGTGAGTGGATTGCCTGAGCCCACGGGTTCGAGA